GCCATGCCTACGGAGAGAGATAGTGGGAGGCTACTTCCCTCGTCGGGTTCTACTATACATCACTAACAGGTAAGTCCCCTACCCCACACTCACCTCTCGTTACTCCTGTCAGTGAACTAAGCAAAAATCGAATGAATCTTCTGCTAGAACACGAAAATATACATGTCACTTCAAGGGAAACGAAATCCCCCCCCCACGTTCGGGCCCCATGCTTCGCATCACCAAACCTACCCCTCCACCTTCCAATCCGCCTTCACCACTCATTTCGCCTAGCTCCAGAACCCCCGGTTAGCATTTTACTCCGCTGGATTCCATTGCGGATCGAGCGTCATCCTCGTATTCCTACTCTCACCATACCTCCCCAAACGACATCACCGCGCACCTGCTTTTACTCTGAACTCCTATTATACTAACCTTCAACTAAATCCGACTCCAGATCCTAGCTCGCCCACCTCGAAAACCCCCAATTTGAGTCTTCGTTCGTTTGTTTTCATCAACAAACGAACGATATCAGTATTTCCTCCTCCCGTTCTTTTCCACATCGGCCATAGCTCGGCGCGCCCCTGTTGCTACTAACCTCCCACCGTACCAACTAATCGGCCAAACCGACTTCATACTCGGATTCACACGACCGAAAAAACCCTGTCTAGTATCTACTCTCGCCCGATTTCGCTAAGAAACGGGCGAGCAACAACCTTCCCACCTCGTCATAGCTCGTCGCCCTTTCCAGCTTCCGTCTGTATGCACCTGGCGAGTTTTAATGCCCAGGTCCATTTGCTCCTACTAGATGCTCAGCGCCCGTCACTGCGTCTACCTGTCCACCCTGCTGCTGCGCATCGCTTACCGCTCGGCCCCACCGTCTGTCTTTCACCATCTGCGCCTTATCTCCTGGCCCCCTCGCCACTCGTAGCTCCTCCCGTCACTACTCCCTCTCACCCGCACGTATCCAACACACCTCCACGACCGGGTTCGCTCACCCCTCTCCTCTTCTCTACACTCTGCGGCTTGCCCGTCGGCTCCACCTCACCTCCCTGTTGCCGACAACAGCTCCCCGATATCGCGCGGCCCTGCAACGCCCGATTCCCCAAAAAAAAAAATCCTTCAACTGTCGGGCTGTTCTTACTTAAACGGCCCGCCCGTCCACCTGGCCATACTACTCTCCCCTACGTCCCCAGATGTCCCCCCCCCCCCCGCCAAACGTCCCAACGGGTTCGGCCGAGGCGGTGCCCCGTAGCGGCGCCAAAAGCCGCCCGACCTCTTCGACTTCGGCCTACCGGTGGGTGAGGACACGCACCTTTCCCCGTCTGCGTCCGGGTTCATCCCCGGGCCTCCCCACACTGCCCCTGCTCCAGGCCCTGCCGGCCTCCCCCGTATGACCCCAGCCTTAACGACTGCCCCGACGAACCCTGACTTCGCGACAATGCCGGGGCTATTCGGCTGGTGCCTTGACGGTTCGGGAGCCTCGTACCCACTGGCCAGACCCTCGGCCCCGAGCCGCCGCCTCGATACCACGCCCCCTAAGCCAAACGGGGCCTACGGATAATAAAAAAAAAAAAACAGTAACACATATCTATACATGCGTTCCTAACAAGGGCGGGAACCGCCGACACACCACCAACCCGCGGATCGGGCCCGTCGTCGCATCTACCAACAAAACCAAGGAGGGATAGCCCCGTCGGGCCCTAAACCCCCTCAACTCTCCTTGACGCTCCGCCGTTGCTGCGCCGACGCTCCACCGACCCTCGATCCCGGCACCTCCGCCGCAATAGTCTAATACCGTAACCAATAGGGCTAAGCCCAAGCCTGATACAGTGAAGCGATGCCGCGTCGTGCCTAGGCCTAGGAAGAACAGCCTAGGCCCTCCTTTCCCACCTGCAAACGGCTCGCCAACACTAGGTACCCGCACCAGCCTACTTGGACCGCGCCGTCACCACCCCGTGTGCCTAGCGGCATGCCAGTCCCACCGTCGGCCACGCACACCACCTAAGAACGACTTTCATCCCCTAAACAAAAACCGCAGCACGACCCAGGTCGGTCGACTAGACCGGCCGCTCCCTCAACCAGAAAAATCACACGCGCGCCTTTAAACTGCGCGCCCACATACCCTCTAACTTAGTCAGGACGAGCCCTGGACTCCATCGCACCTCGCCCGGCTTATGCCGACCAAACCCATTTTTCTGTCATTTAAAAAAAACGGGGCGGATACCCTTATAAGGGTATTCGCGCCGACAACCTACCAGACTATATTAAGCGACGTCCCCGTCGCTACGCCAAATCAGAAGGCTACAAACTTATTCACATTCCAAATGCTGACGAGAGCGGAACCAATTTCGATTAGCCGACAGACTCTGGGTCGAGGCCTCCAACACTCCATGCCGACATAACTATATGCTGCCAGGGTTTCAACCTGGGTTTCCGTTGTCCTGACACCAGGACGCAAGTGTATTACGCATCAATACTACAACATAAGTTCCAAAGGCCACCTCAAACCGTCCTTTCCCTTTCGTCCTAGATAAACGCCGGCTTCTCGTTGGATGTCCCAGTTAGACTCTCTCTTACAAGCAGAGTCATACGGGGACGCGGGCCTTAGACGGGACCTCAGAAGGCACTCTCGCCTCCCTCGCGAAAATCCTCACAATCAAACATATATATATATATATATATATATATATATATATATATATATATATATATATATATATATACGTAAACCACCTCTCAACTCTTTTTGGAGTCTAGTACAGAAATGCTAGGTCTCCATCCCGGCCCACCATAGTCTGGTTGATTGAGCCAGATCTACGACCTACCGCATTGTTATCTTAGCGGCAGTCCCTTCGTTGGTTATGCAACGATAGGTTTTCTCTTGATAGGCATTCAATCAGGGCGCCCAAACGACTCGACCGTATCCCTTGCCATCCCACCGGAGTAATTTCCCCGAGGCGTGCATAACCCGTTAATCTCTTACCCCGTTGGTAGACGTGGGCCCGCAGCCAGGTTGTGCTGATTTGCAGCCATCCGATAGGGGTTGCGCCCTAGAGGTGCTAACCTTTACCGTTTAGCTTGGTATTCCTCAGTATGCCTTAGGGTTAGCACAGGTGTCTAGACGGTGCGTCGCAGAACAGACCACAGGCCCACTGCGGGACTACGCAGGGGTCTGTCTCACTTTAAAGGCGTTCACCAACTCCCTATGGGATACATAGGAAGCGTGACCTCCTTTTCACAATCACAAACAGATTCACTGCTAGGCTCACACCAGGCCGTGGCCTACTTGACTTGATAATCGGCAGCAGACCACATATCCCATGACATTTTTATGCACCGACTTGCGACCTTCTCGGTTCCACCAATGGTTCCAACTTGTAACCATGGTTCCTCTCGTCAGCCTTTATCACTCAAACATTGCTTACCATGTCATTAAATCCATTACCCACTTTTCACATGAAGGGGGCCTCTCTTAATAGGTCTCCCAGTCATCCCTCTTTTCTCATAGGATGGACTATCACGCGACCTCGGTTATATAACCGTCAATAACCAGCATTCCCACCTTCCATAATCTAAAAGGGGCCTCCACCATAGAGCAACTCACTGAGGGTCTGCTTAAGGGTCCTCTTTGTTAACTTAAATGCAAAACAACTCGAACTGGGGGACCAACTTATGGGTCCCTTTTACAACTTAGCCATAAACATCCGGCATAGTAAGCATTCGAGTCTTATAGGCTCGCAAGACCCCTTAGGGTCCTCACACATCTGTCACCACACAGCCGCTCTGCCTCCTCTTATACTCGGTCATTTCACCCGCCCATGGGCAGGCCGCACGAGTATACCGAAGAGTAGACGACAATCACAATCACATAATACATACACATGAGATGTATCCCACACATCTCTCACACAAACCCATCATACATTGGGATAAGAGGCACATGTGTGAGAGTGATTGTGATCGTCCAAAGAGTAGATCCCACAAAGTCTGAAAACAAAGTATGCTCGAGAGCAAAATATCTCCCTCAAGTCTCAATACAACACTCAACCCAAACCCTCAACACACAACTCGTAGGACGTATTTGGGAACAAAATGCCTGCCCGGAAAACACTCAAATACTCACTCCACTGTCTCACTCCTCAGGATAAACTTATGTCCCAAGTGTCACGGACTCTTAGAACCTACTCAAAAAATACAGGTAAGAGTATCTAAATCACACAACTGAAAATGCAAGTCACGTATGTCGTAGAGATCATACAACTAAGTCTCATCCCCTAGACCGTATCACACATAAAGCTCAAGCCGATTACACACCGCCACCTATGTATATACAACTAGACGGGACTCACCTGGCTAACTCAGAGTATGTACACCCCTATCACGGCCTCTGCGTATAGAGGAGCTCTAATCCTACTATCATATAGACGGACCAGTTCCTACTCACTCATAGCCTCCTGGTTCTGTCTATATAACTGTGCCCTACCCCCATCTGGAGCCCGCTCTACCACTCGCCCCTGCCTGTCGTACATTCTCCCACCACCCTCTGTTACTCTCCCAGCTGCCTTGTCCTTAAGGAACTTCGGGCATTCAAGAGCTCTATGTACGCCGTCCTTGCAGAAGAAGCACTGATCGTCTGATCTCCCTCGACACCTCCTCTTCTTCTTCTGGGACCCAGGCAATGGCGGCATCTCGCTAGTTTCCCTGCTCATCTCATGGCTCTGGGGCATATTCCATGACTCTGCCGGCCCCGCCTCCATCATCTAGGTACTCGGCCCTGCTGGCTCCTCACCTCCCTCGGGTCGGTACACTGGAGTGTCCAATCTCTGTGGCCTACCCTCGCGGACTCCTCCCCTCGCAGTCGCCCCCTCGCCCCTATGCAGGTCGGAAGGCTGGGGAGTCCCGACAGTCGCTGACTCGCTCATAACTTCCTGCTGCTGCTCTTAGATGTGCTCTCCTGAGTCAGCTCCAGTAGCCCAAGAGCCTAACTGCGTCCTCAGCTCCCCTATCTCTGGCACACGCTCAGGGGTCTTCTGTCTCTGAGGCTCTCCTGACGGCATGTCCAACTCCATAGCTGCCACTAACTCATCCAGTCGAGACGCCTCTCCCCCCCATTGCCTCCGGCTCAGTGGATGCTGTTACTCCCGTAAGGGCACCCTCCTGCACCTCCAAAAGGATCGTAGGGGACTCCTCTGTGGGGCCCCCTTCCTCCACTGGAGGTTGGGGTCCCTGCGCCGGCTCGCCCTCAGAGATCTCAATCATCATAGGGGTGGCCTGTTGCGAGGCCAACTCCGTGGGCGTCCTGAAGCTAAACCTCCCCTCCTCGGCCTCCTGCCGTGCTGCCGCCTCTATTGGGCCCAGGAATACCTTCTCCATACCTCCTTGGTGAGGTGGCTCTGCCGTCCCTTCCCGGCCAAAGAGCCCCTGTACCTCCTTCCCCTGGATACCATACCGGCTCTGCTCCGTCCAGTTGACCACCTTAGTGGCCGAGAGCCTCTCCACCATCGCCGCCATGTCCTGGAGCCTCTTCTTCTATTCCGCTTCCTTAACTTCCATACGGGACCTCCATGCTTGATTCTTTGCCCTCTCTCCTGCCAGTTGGGTGGATAACTGTCCCACCTCTAACCTCGAGGCCGCCAACTCATCGCTGAGCATGGAGTACCGTTGGAAGGGCGAGACCGCCACCTCACTTATCCTCCTATCTGCAAGCTCAATCTCCATCCTGATGGCTGAAAATCCCAAGTCCTCTGTCTCTCGTGCCTCGTCCAATCTTGCACTCCCCTGTCCTACCTCTCGCGACCTCAGGCGAGCCGCATCCCTCTCGCTCTCATAGCTGGCCCAAGCCTCGCTAATCCTCTGCTCGCTCGTCGGAGGGTCAATTGGCGGCCTTGGCGCTTCTCCTGCGGCCTCCATCCTAAGCTTTTTCTGGTATAGCTCTTCGAGGCGTACCTGCACCCTCGAGCGCTTCTCTTCTTTCGTCTCTCCCGGTGGCTTCCCTGTCCTCGCCTCGTGACCCTCTCGCAGTGGATCTCTCTCACTTGTCTCCTCCTCTGCGGGTGGCGGCCCTGGCGGAGGCTCCCCGGTTGTCGGCACCTCCACATCCATGCGTGCACCTGTATACTCAGTTAGTTGTGACGCCACAGTAGTAGGTGTCTTCGCCCTCTCGCCCCCCTCTGGCTCCGCCTGCGTCGGGGGTGGCGTAGTAGCTTCCGGTGGGGGCCCCAACATCTCCTCGCTGTCCAGCTCATAACCCCGTCAGTCTGCGGCTCCTCGGCTTCGCGAGACCCGCCTCAGGCCCTGGCTCAGGTGGCTCCTCCTCTGGCTCATCCCCTACTAGCTCATACCGTGCCGGTCCACTCTGGTCCGCTCCCAGCTGTGACGCCCCCCACTGGGACGCATCGAGATGAGCCTCCAACTTGTCGAGCGGCGTCCTCAACGGCACCGCCTCTCCCCCCTCTGGTAACGTCGGCGACGGGTCTCGTAGATCACTGCCCGTGATTCGGCGAAACTCTACCTACTCGAGTCCATAGGTAGGGGGTAGCTTCGCCGCCTGAGCTGGCCCCGCGGCCTGAATTGGCTCCACCGCCTGGGCGGCCTTTGCTGGCCCCTCTCGCTACGCCAAGGCCTTTCGGCCCCCTCTGGTCGCAGTGGTCCCTCTCGCCTCTAGGCCCCGTGGCCTCTTACTCCTTCGTCGTCTCTCCACCCTGGGCTCTGGTCTCTCGAGCTCCAGTCGTCGAAGTGCCCGTCTCAACTAGGCCTGGCAGTCCTCCCAGTCGTGTGCCCTGTCCCGGATCTGCCTCGCCAACGACCTCTCCGCCCTCCGCGTCCAGAGGGGCAGCATCTGCATCCACTCCTCCTGCCCAGTCCCCTGGTCGCGCATATACTGCTCATAGGCCGGGATGAACTCCTCCGCATTGCCTTCCTCCAATCGAATAGGCAATCCATCCGGTCCCATCGGCGAAGCCCTCAGCATCTGCATCCTCGCCTCCACATCCTGCCATGTCAACGCCTCCTCTCGAATGTGCGCAATAGGCTCCTCAAAGCGCCCAACTCCCCTCAGGTGCCGTATCCTTTCCAAGGTAGACCAGCCCTCCCGTGTCGCATGTGCCTGGTAGGAGTCCAGAAAAAGCTCTATGTTACCGTCGTCGAAGATAGGCGTAGACTCCATCCCAACCGGTCTGCGCGAGTCATCCCCTCCTGATGCTCCCTGAGGCCTCTGTCGTGGCCGCGCGCCCCTCCCGCCCCTCTGCATGGCTGTCTCCGAAAAGTCAGACCTGCACAACAGGCGAGAGAGAGCAAGCAGGCACATAACAAGGTTAGCCCTCGGCTCATCAAGTTTTTATGACAATACACACGCCTTTTCTTACTCCCTCACCTGTCCTGACCATAACATGCGATACCTCAAGGACCAGTCTACTCTGAGAAAGGTAGATTTTTTTACCTATTCCCTGGCCACGAATTTCTTCAGCCTGGTCCCTGATACCCAATCCTGCCAGCCTGTCCCATCCAGCTCCTCGATCTGATAGGCCCCAAATTCACTGCACCGCAATATTCTATAGGGGCCCAACCATCTCTTGTCAAGCTTCCTCGACCATTGCTTTTCCAAAGAGGAGTCGTATAATAATACGACATCCCCTACTGCCAATGGCTCCTTTCTTACTCGTGCCATCTGGTCCCACCTCATCTTATCTTCCATGCGACTCCTTTCCACCTGACCAGCGGCCTCTCGCAATCTTTCTTCGGCCGCCCCCACTTGCCGCGCCCGAATATCGAGCAGTTCTTCGAAAGACAGGTTCACCTCCAAGTCCTGGCGCCTCTACGTCTTCATAAAGCTTTCTATGGGAAAGGTGGCATGCCTTCCGTACCATAGCGTGGCTGACGCGTACTTGGTAGTCCTCTTTACAGTAACATTCTCCACGAAGAGAGCTGCCCGTAGGAACTTCGGCCATTGACCAGGTTTGCCCTCTGTCCACTTAGCCAGGAGATTCGTGATGGTACTGTGGCCCCTCTCCACAGGAGCGTTCGCTTGAGGGTGCGCGGCCATAGTATAGTTGGCCACTACGCCATACCCTGCAAGCAACGTCCTCACCTCATTGCAGGTAAACTTTGATCCTCGATCCATCACGAACTCCCTGACAAAAGGGTATCGCAGGTAATACTCCTCGATGCAGTTCGCCAAAACCGAGCCAGTCTTCGTCCGGATAGCTCGTCCGTCCACAAACCCAGTAAGGTTATCCCGTGCATGGAAGATGTAGTTACACCCATTCTTCCCTGCTGGCATGAATAACAGGTCTAGGTGTACGACCGCACCCACTTCCTTCTCCAATCTTGGGTGTAGGGGCTCTCCAGGCCTTTGCGCCGACCTCTCCTGACAGGGTACACAGGACTGGCAGTGCTTGAAAACCATAGTCAACATCCCATCCCAGTGGTACAGCTCGCTTATCTTAGCGCATGTGGCACCTATCCCCCTGTGCCCCCCTGCTATACCATCATGTAGGGCCGCTATGATATCAATCTGCCGGTTCCTCCCGCATACAATCCTCTTAAGGTTCCCGACCTGCCGCTTTATGAACAGATGGCCATCTCTTACCACGTAGAGGTGCCTCATCTTCTGTGCTTTGGCACTTCCATCTCTATCCCTCATCTCACATGATAGGAGCAACCCCAATTCCCGGTAGATCCCATCATACTCCTCCGCCCGAAATGCCTCCTTGATTTCTCCTTCCTCGAATTCGTCGTCTCGACTTTCAGGAACTAGAATCTCATTCTCTTCGTGACTGAACGAGTCCTTCCGGTCGAAGTCTCCCTGCAGGAGCGTATTGGTGAGCAGGTACATCCCTCCCATTAGCTGCTCATGCTCCTCTACCTGAGTGGGGCCTTCCTCTATTGTCCTCACTTCCTCCACCAGACTGTCCGTACCTGCCAACGCCAACTTCATCATCCAACCAACATCCGTACTTCCCCACGGATCCTCCTCCTGAAAGGGCTTGAGGGCTAACTCTTCCTTCTGCTCGTACCCCTTCGGTGCCAGCCATATGGGGTGACTGACGCAACTGGGCACTCGCAAGGACCATTCGTTTATGTGCAGGCGGATGTCCAACTCTTGATCCAAGAACCCATCAATGACGGCTTGTCTTCTATCGATTCCTCGTCCGATCCGTCCCAGTTGATGCGGCTTAACCCATCTGCCCTGTTCTTATTCCCTGGAATCCTTTCCAACTCGAAATTAAACATCCAAATGTAGGTCAACCATCTTGCGATGGTTGGGTCAGATGGAGTATAATTCTTCAGGGAACATGCCTGTGCAGTAGGGTCCACCCTCAGGATGAGCCTCCTGCCGAAAACATAGTTCCAGAAGGTCCTTAGGCAATGAAGTACCACCAGCGTCTCCTTCTTGAACTGAGAGTAGTTCCTCTCAGTTGTATTGAGGGTGCGAATTTCGAATCTTAGCGGCCTCTCCTTCCCCTCAGTATCTGCCTGAATCAGGACTCCCCCCAAGGCAGTTGGCCCAGCGTCCGTCTCAATGACGAATGGTCTTTCCTCCGTGGCCTCATAGTTTGGCGCTCCCAATACCAAGCTTCCTTCCTTAAACTCTCCCTTCATCCTACCGACCGCCTCTTCCTGGTCTTCGCCCCAGAACCATTCTTGATCCTGGCGCACCAACTTCCTTAAGTGCTCCGTCTTCGTGGCAAAGTCCTTCACGAAGCTCCTCCAAAATCCGCACATTCCAAGAAAGCTCCTCACATCTGTTATCGAACGGAAGGGCACCGACCACTCAAGAATCTTGTCTGTTTTCTTTACGTCAGACCTTCGCCCACTCTCATTGCAGACAAAACCTTAATCATGACCTCCCTCATACAATGTTTCGACTTGGGGCCGCTCGCTGTCAGGTTATGTTCCTCCAATAACCCCAGAACCTGATCGATGTCTTGGACATGCTTCCAGACAAAGCGCCGCACACCGGGCATCACTTCGTCTTCCTCCTTCTCCTTCGGACCTTTGACCGCCAGGTCATCGATATAGGGCTGAGTGATATGTGGGTTGACCGTCTGCATGGCTCTGATCATATGCCTTTGCACCATCGCCACTGCATTCGTCCAACCTTGAGGCGCCACGTTCATATGAATCAGCCCTCTGGGAGTGTGCATTGTCGTTACGGGCCTGTCTGGCGGGTATACGGGGAATTGGTCATACCCCGAGTAGAGGTCTATAAGCGAGATTATAGGCCTCCCTGCGCACGATTCCGACAATGCGTCCGTGTTCGACAATCCTCCAGCGTCCCGCACTGTCACCGCATTTAGCCGTTGCAAGTCCTGCACCCACCTTAGCGTCCCATTTGATTTAATAAAACAAAACCAAGGCGACGCGTACGACCCACTGGAATAATCGGCCACGTGCGTCTGCATCTTGCCGTCCAAGTAGTCCACCACCATCTTTTCCTCGTCCGGATTGGGGTACCGTGTGCCCCTTAGATTCCATGGCTCATGTGGGACCGTGTGGATCCTGATCATCGGGATCCTGTCCACATCCAGCCTCCCACTCTCGTCGTCGTCGAATGCATACGCGCGGTGCCTTTTCTTCATCAGCCCCATTATCAACGCTCTCTCCTGGGACGACAGAAAGTCGGACTTCCCAATTATCAGCTTCCCCTCATTTTCGTCGTTGATACGGCCCGGCCCGGCCAACGCGTGCTCCCGCATACGCCGTATCAACCCTCGCTCCCGCTCGTAGTAGGCTTCCTCATCCTCTTTGACGAGCACGGGAACTGGGCGGCACTTCTTATCTATGGTCTTGTACCGCCTTTGGGAACCCTGCTTAAGCCCTCCCCTAAAAAAGGCCGACTTGTCGCTCGGGCCTGGGCCATCGCAATGCCTCCCCTCTCTCCCGGAAGCCGATACACCAACTCCACCTCCCCCACCTGAGGGTTCTCCAAAACCTGTTCCCTCAATGCCTTAATGGCCTCCAGATCCGCCATGTCGTGAGCCGATACCACCTCCATGGCCTTATTCACATCGGTGAGGCTCAGTGTCAGCACCTCAGCCTTATCCTCCTCCTCGGGCACTTCCCAAAGCCGTCTTCGCTCGTTCTCCGATTCCTCGAAGGTGAATGAGCCGAGATTAAGCCTATTCCTCCCGTTCCCCGGCCCCGTGTTTCGGCACGTGACAACTTTGTAGTTCCCGCACGCTGGGTCGCATAGGAGTAGGATCATTGTCCCGTCGTGCTTATTAAAAATCAACATCTCCGTTCGACACAGGAACGACCTTCCCAGAAGGATGGGATGATCGACATCGGGCATGGCGAAAAAGCACGTCCTGGCTCGCACCTTCCCAATCTCTATAATCACATTAGACGCCGTGCCGCAAAAAGCGGCCTTGCAGTTGGCGCCATGCAGCATGTCATGGTCCGAGCGGTCGATCTCCATGCCTATCATCACCGCCTCCTTCTCCTTGATGATATTCATTTCTGCGCCCGTGTCCACCATCCCAGTGCACTTCTGGTTCTTTATCACCAAATCCACCTGCCCGCACGCCACACATTTCCAGTCCATCCTTATCCCTGCCTCAGTCCACTTCACCTCCCTGGGCAGGACCGTACTCAGATGAACATTTGGCACCAACCTTCGCGAGAGTCGCCCTTTCAACTCACCACGGAGCCTTGGTGCCGACGCCAGGATGTCCTTCACGTTCATCAGGTCATTGTGGCCTTCCAGGAGTTTGTCCACCATCCGCTCCACATCAAAACCTTCCTCCATCCAAACCGCGTACTTCTTCCTCTTAGGTACGCTGTCGGGTAGGCTCAACTCGGCCTCCTCCCGGGCTCCTCTCTTTTTGGCCCTCAACTCCGCCCGCTGATCCTCCTCTTGTCGGAGCCTCTCATCCTCTTCATCGTTATCCTCTTCCTCCGGGACCTCCACCACCTCTTTCCTACGTTCTAGCTCAGGCTCCTTTCGAGGGGGTGCCTGACTGGGCTCTTGGCTAGGCCCGACCTTGTTTTGGCTCCTAGTCCGAGCCGCCTGCGGTACCCTCCCATGCGACGTGGGGGGTTTGTAGGCCATACCTGACCTAGGGCCCGTCCCTACAGTCGCCACTCTTGGGCACCCTTGTTTGTTGGCGAAGGCTCTGGTCCGGAGTCATAAAGGAAGACCTCAGGCAGGTTGGCCTCCCACTCTCAGGCTTCTTCACACAGGGCTTGCAGCTTCCGCTGGTATCTCCCAACCTTTTCCAGCAGATCTTCCATCCTTCCCAGGAGGAGTGTGGTCGGCTCTCCTTCGCCTTCCTGCCCCTCATCATCCGATTCGACGACTATTGGCTCCTCCCGTATAGCCCCTGCCTTTAGCCGCTGGTTGACCTCGTTATCCCCCACAATCTCCTCGACCCTTACGGTCGGCTCTTCCTTCTCTTGCCACATCCTAAACATCGCCGAGGGTGCTGTGGGTCCCGTTGCTGCCCGCTGGAGAGCCTCTTGCCTGATTCCTCCCGGGGTCCTGGGGTCGATATGCTCACCCCACTTGTCATATATATCCCCGTCCATACAGGAGGAGATTAACCCTGACAATTCATCCTCTCGCCGCCGCTCGCAGAACCGCACAGTGTGGACTACGTCGCCACAATGCCAACAGGTGGCATTTCGCCAATCAAAGCGGGGCCTCCCATACCCTTGGCCCCCTTCCTGGTTGCCCCGACCACCTTGATTCTAGCCCCTTTGACCATTCCAACCACCCTCACGACCCCCACCATTTCCTCCTCGGCCTCGGCCGCCACCTCCTCGACCCCCTTGACCTCGGCCTCCATTGCCTTGTCCGCCTTGTCCTTGGTTTCCTCCACCGACCACGCTAGCCTGCGAGGCCTGTTGGGAGGGAGGTGGTTGGGCTACAAACTGACCCTGAGCCGCAGGGTAGCTCGGGGGCCCCATACTTGTCGCTGGGCCCGCATAAGGGACCATTTGCCCGGGGCGAGTTTGACTTCCCCCGCACGAGGTGCAATGATTACAACTGGGCCAGGATGCAGGCTGACAATGCGGCACCCAGTGCCCACAAGCCGGCGGCGGCCCCATACATGACGGCCCGACCGTCGCTGATGTTGTCGTGGCAGTAGGTGGCGGCGCAGCAACCGCTTGCGGGACCTGCCCTTTTCCCGATCCTTGACCCCCTACTTGTAAATTCCGCTGCTTCCTCTGGGCCTTGGTTAGGATCTGGGAGCCCGTCTCTTCTCCGCCATAGTCCTCACGCCTAGCCTCCTCTTCCACTGCCCCCGACGCCCGGCGTTGGGCCACGATCACTCCCCTCTTTTGGATTTCCGCCTCATTATCATACCCCAACGCTGTCAATACGTCCGTGACGATCCTCTTCACCCCCGGGGTCCCGGACGCGGTGGCGTCCCTTTCCTTTCTCTTGCGGCTTTGCAGCCGCACCTGGTGCTGCTCCACCTGGTCTAGGCTCCCCTCTTCCACCCCTTTGTCGATAGTGGCCCAGGTGAGTTTCTCATTTCCCCCTCTGTGACCCGTCAGCTCTGAGCCCTCCGAGCCAATAAGCAGACCAAAAAATATGGCACACTGCGTTTGTTCGGAGATCCCGTGCACCTTCCACACCTTCCTTTTAAACTCATGCACAAACGCCCCAATCGTGGAGAAGTCATCCTTGTTCATGACCTCCAAATCCGCCATGGTTAACAAGCCATCCCCCAACCTGTACTTTCTCTGCATTATGTCCCTGAACCTCGCCCAACTACCATTGGCGGCATCCACGACCTTGCCCACTTCCTGATGGTGGCTATGAAGGACATATCTTAGAACTCGCTGGAGCTTGACCTCGTCCGACAGCCCCACCAGTGCTTGCTCCATCAGGTCCAGCCAGTCGGACACCCGTTCTCCCTTAAAGTGGAAGGTATCAACCTTCGGGACATTGGTCGGTGCTCTCTCACGCTTATCCAGGGCATCAATGAGGTCGTCGAGCGTTACAAGCTTTCTCCCACCGTCGGTGGTCTTGGTCCAACGCCTCGCACATGTTGAAACCAGAAGGTTATAATTTGACTATACTTTATAAATATATTATCTATGAACAGGCTAGTCAGACAGGGTTCCATAAGTTTGGGTGGTCTGACTATAACTTATCACCAACTGAAGAGAGTACTAATTAAGAATAAACTTGTGGTACGAAGGGGCAGACTAAGTCTTGAGCTGAAGATGATCGGCCCAGTTATATGCTACCTCAAAAGACTAAGTGAAGATAATTATATAAAATTTGGATATTTAAACAGTTCAGTGCGACTAGGGTGGCCTAGTCACATGCCCAAAGAAGATAAAAGTTGTTGTGCCCTGTGTTTGTGTATACTCTATGACTGAGCTAGATATGTTCCATAAGTTTGGGTGGTCTAGCTTTATGCCTTATGTAAGCTGGGAATAAAGGGGATAAATCATTGAAAAACTATGAACTATTGTTTGTTTACTCTGGGATGGTGAGAGTACTTACCTTTGTGGTTTGGCCTGCATGTGACTGAGTGAGGCTACTACTTAGTCCAAGTTTCAGTTTGATAGGTAGTTGCTTTAGTCGCTCGCCACGTGCTAGAGTCATATGAGTTAGTTTCAATTCCTGCATTTTCTGAGCTAAATTTTTTACTTAGATCAATGTTCGCATTTTCTGGGATCTTTTGTTATACTTGGTTTTGTATAAATTTTGGTATGCTACTTTCTCTATGGAAAGCGCTGCCGAAATTTCTGCAAATCCAAGGAGTTGGTCAACTTTTGACTTTTCAAAGTTCAACTTGTCTGAATTTTATATGGCTTAGTACAAATATGAGAAGTCTCCTTTTCTAAGGGGAGTGCTGCCCAAATTTTTGTTAATTCAGAGAGTTAGACAAAATTTGACTTTGGAAAGTCAAAAACTATTTTTGGTTTCATATTCAGGCTGATATAAATTATGAAAAGACACTTTTCCTATGGAAAACGCTGCCAAAATTTTCTTAGTTTGAAGGAGTTAGATTATATTTCGACAGATGACAATTTTGACAATCCACTTTGTATAGAGGGGATTCTGCTAAAGGTCTACCTTTCTTGGACACTTGCTTAGAGGTAGACTTAGACTTAGTTAAATAGGATGGTTTGAGTGAGATCGTGATATGAAGATTATTTTCCATGAATTTACAGACTTAGCTTGGGGATTGACCTGTCTTGTGTTACACGTCTTCTTGATCGATTGATTCAGGATTTGGGCTAGATTCAGTTTGACCCTACGAGGATCATCTTCTGTTATCACTTATAACAGGTCGGTTGCCGATTCGTCGGTTTACGATTCAATGCCAATCCATTTCTGTCACTCAACCTAAAGGCTTTAGCCTTGTTATTTAAACGGTTTTGTGGTGTTTTCAGCCGGACTTTATTTGAATGGTCATTTAAAGAAAAGTACTGAGTTTTTTATTTTGAGGAGTTGCACAAGAGTGAGGCTTGTATGGCTAAAAACAAGGGGTGTGAGTGCGTGGAATGGTTGAAGTTGAACCCGTGTAGTGCATGTTTTTTTTTGTTGAATCTTTGATGTGATTGCATGTATGTTTGGTGATTCAGACTTTGGATTTGACTGACTGCGCTCACATACATACATATATATATATATATATATATATATATATATATATATATATATATATATATGGTTGAGAGGAGCCCCACTGTGATTGTGAGAAGTGATGATCACATATTTATAACCCTTTATATATATGTAAATACTTATGTCTTGAATGTTTCGCGCGACCTACTGTGACCATGCGTAAGGGTTAAACAAATTATGTTTTTGAGAGAAAAAGGAGATCCCCTGTGATCCTTTGCTTTTTAGAGTTCCTATGGTTGGACGTTGTAGTCCGTGACAACCGTCAAAGTCAAACCCCTTGATTTCTCTCCAGGCCCTAGAAGGTGGAACTGGTCTCTAGGGCAATAAGAAACGGTTGCCACCTGAGGTATGAACCTGTGTACCACCCACTCTCCGCAGGATGCAGAAGAGGGTGTCGTTCTCAACCGCACTTGGCGGTTGTCCAGCGTCGAGAGATTAACCCTCAAGGCGCGTGTCAGCCGACACTTGAGTGTCGAATGCGACCCTCGAGATTAACAAGGATCGCGTGAGTATGGGTATTACATAGTACGTCATCATTGCGATCGCTTGCATTGCGAATTGATATGAGTTAGCCCTGCGTCAGCGTGGTTTTATACCGAGTCTCGAGCGCGACACCTATCCGATTTCCGCATCGGATAGTTATGGGATGACTACTAAGGGACTAGGAGTATTGTCGCGTCGTTTGTTTAGTGTCGTTCTGTGTATGTATATGTACGTGTGTGTGTGTGTGTGTGTGTGTGTGTGTGTGTGTGTGTGTGTGTGTGTGTGTGTGTGTGTGTT